GAGTGCGTCTGAGAGTTCGCTACGTCAGCAAGTACCCCTACTGCAGGAGCTTTCCGTTTAACCTGAAGAGGGCAGCACTCAGACGTTTTTACACCATATATTTGAAAATCAAAACACTTTATACTCAATTGTCAAAAAATGTACTCGAATCAATGAACAGCATTTATGAGGCTCCATTCTTACAGATCATTAACTAAAAAAAGTTGTTTTGGTGTTTAGTTACCCTTTAAAGGGTTAGTTCACCCAAAAATGAAAATTCTGTCATCAATTAATCACCCTCATTTTGTTCCAAACCCTTAAGACTTTCATTCATATTTGGAGCACAAAGTGTGTTTAGCCAAAAACACTAGAAACTAGTGTGTTCCAAAAGTACATAAACCTGCAAAAACTCTCTCTTTCCTCAGATGGTCTGTGTTTGAGGCCGTGTTGCAGAGTTTCAGGCATTGTATGTTGGAGCGTGCAGTTCCAGTGTCGTTACCGGGGGTAATGCTGAGAGGGCAGGCTCAGGGTAGAGTCAGTCTGCATCAGCATGTGTGTGTCCATATGTGTGCTTGTGTGGCTGTGCTGCCCGCACAACATTTTCCTCCGCTGGTCAGTGATTTCTTTTGAACTTTTATTGAATTCTGTGGATTAAAAATTATATGAAGTAAATTGTCACGTAATCCAGAGAGAATTGTCAAGCTTTGTGTCTTAGCATGACAAAATAAAAGCTGCGACTTTCTTTTCATTTATGTGATCACTTTATGATAACATGGTTCTCTCAGAGAAAACAAAGAAATCATTACTATTAATATTAGCTTTTAAATTCTCCCATTTATATGCCCAAAGTAGTTTTCGATATTGAATGCTGAAACAATTTTTTTATTGGCCAAGTGACAAATAGCTGGTGCTTATTAATGCTTTTCATCAGAAAAGGAAATGTCACATAATCTTGCAGTCCTCTCTGTTTCCTTCTTCAAGGAGCGGTCCCTATTAGCTGCCATATTACAGGCAGACACACAGACGGCTGTCTTGGCCTCAGATGTCTGGTGTTTCCTGGTACGGTAAGTACAGATACACACACCCAAGAGCATAGACCATCAGACTTTTATGACTACCACTTCCCAGAGCTGTCACAGTAACGTTGAGCATGAACAATGAGGGGACATTCCTGTGTTTACTATATTAGAAAATTCCAAAGTTTTGGCATTGTTGTTAAGGAGTTATTTGGAAATTTCTATTAACCCCCTAAGTAATATTGATTACCATCCTTTACTAAGACTTGTCAATGTTAGGCAAGGATGAAAAGAAAACATCTACTGCAATACAAGAAGTACACATTAATGTACAATATCAGAGTTGTGTTCTCCCTTTCTCTCTTCAGGTATGGCACGGCCGAGTTGTGTTTTCACCATGTTCTCCTTATTGCTCACCTGGTGAGTGGAGTCTGTTGGGAATGTGACTTTTTCTGTGCTTTCTGGGAACCTGTCTGGGATGAGTGACCACAGGGGACCATTTTTCTCTAAAAAGAACATGGGGAAGAATACACCTGTCAATCACAACACTCTTGCGGGATCTGTCTTGTGTGCTTGGTATTATTGTAAATGTCAATAAGTTTTGGATGAACAACTAATGGTTTACTCTCTCTCTCACACACACACTCAAAAGTTTGAAGCCAGTAACATTTTTAAAGAAGCCTCTTATGCTCACCAAGGCTGCATTTATTTGCTAATTACAGTAAAACAGTAATATTATGAAATATTATTGCAATTAAATAGCAGTCTGTTTTAATATATTTTAAAATGTATTTATTCCTTTGGCTGGCAAAGCTGAATTTTCAGCATCATTAGTTCAGTCTTCAGTGAGTCTGCAGAAATCATGAATTATGCTCAACTGTGCTCAAGAAATATTTATTATTGGCAATATTGTAAACAGTTGTGCTGCTTAACATTTTGTGGCACCTGATACATTTTATCATGATTCTTTGATGAATAGAAAGTTAATCCTCTTTTTCTTACTGGAAAAAGTTCTTTCTGGAAAATGGAAATATTTAGTAATATAACTTAATGCCTTTACTGTCACTTTTGATACATTTAATGCATCCTTGTGGAAGAAAAGTATTTATTTCTGTACTAAAAAATCTTACAGATCTCACTTTTGAAAGTTCAAATACCTTTTGTCTTAATTTTAAACCAGTAGTTTCAAACTGAGTTTTAGACCCTTGTTTTAAACTATACATCTACGTTTTGCTTCAAAACCGTACTTGTGTTATCTTAATCCTTGATATTTCTAAATCTATTGACATTTTTGAAGGTGATTAAATACTCCTTGGACCCATTGTAATTGAACTTTTGAAAAGTGTTTAGATAAAATCTTTTTTTTTTTTCCTGAAAAATATTTCCTTAAAATATAAGACCTTTTAGTAGAGAACTAGTTGCTTCTGTGACCTGTGTTATTGTATTGTCTAGATAAGGTCATGTCCTGGTGAGGGGTATCAGCTGTTTCACTTGGCCCTGCTGCTTAGACGCCTGCTCTTTCTCATGACTCCAAAACACCAGGTTAGTTTCCTTTTCTCTTGTCCAGATATAGCATATGAAATACAACTCTGCAGAACACTTCCTTAGAACATTGATGAGTTTGTTAGATTTTTTTGGCTTTCTAATATAGTTTATTTATGTTCCCACAGTTCGGCCTATGTTTTGAATGTAGCCAAATGGTACATTTCTAAGTATGATGAAGTGTTTTTGTGACAGGTGGAGTTTGTGGAGCGCTTCCCTCCCTCTCAGGAGGAGAATGTGTGTGTGTGGCGTCACACACTGCTGAGGTGTCTGTGCATGGAGGCACGCAAGCAGGTGGAGGAAGAGGTGCTCGCCAGGGCCTCTGTTGTACTGCAGGAATGGCAGAATAGTGGCCACAAGCTAGGAGATATACCGAGAGTGGTGAGGGAACTTAAGTGACAGTGCTGCCACCAACCGCATAAACGTTTAATACTTTTTTTTTTTTAATTTCAATGCTTAAGGTTTTATTGTTTTGTAGATTAACACATCCACTGTGTCAATTATATTTCACACCCTGCTCTTAAAAACCAGACTCACCTTAAAAATAAATATGCCCTGTACCCACTTTTAACTTTTTTTTTTTTTTTTTCTCTTTGTGATCCAGAACCGAATTCTGGGCTGTGTGCTGCTGGTGATGGGAGGTAGCAGCCTGCAGGCGGAGTGTGTGCTGTCTTCTGTAAAGATCATCTCTCAGCTGTGGAGTCGCATGAGTAGCAACCAGGTGACCAGATTTCACAGATGCACAACTGTTTAAAAGTTTGGGTTCAATAAGAGTTTTTTTATTTCCCAATAGAAATTGACACTTTTATTCAGCAAGGATGAATTAAATGGATCAAAAGTGACAGTACAGATTTTTTACCTGCAGCAGCAATCATCTCAGGTTTCAAGTAGCAGGGAATTCACGCGGAGCCGTTGCAACTCTGCCGCCATTATGTTAAGCCCGCCCATCGACTCTGTACACGATGTGATTGGCCTAGAGTTTGTTTTTTCCAGCTCGCAAGCCAACGGAGAGTTAGATATTAAAAATTAAGAATTTTTCTTTTTCAGTTGTTACTGTGTTTTTCTTCACTAATTTCAGGTGCAGGCTCATCCTCCTCTCCAGTGCACTGTGAAGCTACTCCTGTCATTATCAGCTGTTCTGATCAAAAGTGTAGAGCCACACGTCATTGTTCAGGTGAACTTTTAACATTACATTCAGTGGGTCATTTTCCACTTCTTTAACCTCAATTTTTACTGTGTATCTTTAGAACTTTCATAGTTCTCTCTTTTAAAGCTTTATCTTTGTTAATTAATTTTTTATTATTTTGGTAAAAGTGTTTTTTGTTTTTTTTTTCAGGCTGTTTCATGTTTGAGTAGTTTGACTATCCAGAAATGCTCTGATGACCTGCTTTTAGCTGGTTTGGAGTTCCTTGCTTCCATTGGAAAAGTATTTTTTCCTCCAAATATTCAGGTATAAGTAGAATATGAGTAAGATGTTTTTTAAGATCACAAATGAGTCTCTTTCATTTAGTAATTTCTCTGTGTGCGTATGAATATGTATGCATGTGACTGCAGTGCCAAGTTTTGCCCAGAATCAGTGCTCTATTTAATGGTCTCCTGACTCACACATCCTGGCTGATACTCCATCATGTCCTGGAGGCTTTTGGCCTCTTTGCAGAGGTCAGAAATTTCCCATTTATATAACCATTTTTAACCTAGTAGTTTTTTTTGTTTTTTTTTAACAAGCATTATCCTCAATTGTTAAATTTGTATTTGAGTAAATCAGAAGTGAATGTATGATACATTTTTGAAACATGACACAAACCGAGTCTCTCAAGAGACTTTAAAAAAAGTTTTTAATTAATATTTAATTATTTGTTGAAAAACCTAACATCTCATCCATTCATTTTTTTATGTGTTAGTGTATGTATATATATATATATATATATATATAATATATATATGAAGAGTTCAGATGCAAAAGCCTCTAAATGTCATTTGAAATTTTCTTCTAAAATGGCCATTTTTATCAAGCTTGTATATTTAAGTTCAGTAATTTCACTTAAATGACAATTAAAAGGTAATCTTCATTGCCATTTAAGTGAAATTACTGAACTTAAATATACAAGCTTGATAAAAATGATCATTTTAGAAGAAAATTTCAAATGGCACTTAGAGGCTTTTGCATCTGAACTCTTCTTATATATATATATATATATATATATATATATATATATATTACGGTGATATGTAAGCCAGCTCATGTCTCTTTTTCAACTTTTAAGATAACCAACCACGAGGAAGTGATTTCTCAAACACTGACATCAGAGGAGGTCAAAACCAAAGTGTTAAACTTCCTCAGTAAGGTAACAAGTGAGATATGCGTAAACTTTAAATATATAATTTTGTCTTGTTGTGTTCCTTATATAGATTGTATTATTTTCTATAGACAGTCTCACTGCAGGAGTCTGAGGAATTGAGACTAGAACGTCTCAAGGGGTGGAGGAGTATAATAGAGAAACACTGTGAGCAAATGGAGAGTGAGAACAGATCACCTGAACACACACCCATTACTGTGGAGGTGAGTGAAAGGATGTCTGTCTTTTCTGCTTGACATACCGATGGAAAAATATTTACTAATTATATAATTCTATATTATATTCCAGCCATGTCTGAAAAGGGCAAGACAGGAGACCAACACAGAAGAGGAGTATGAGCGATACCTCCAGACAGCAGAAAGTGCCTTGAAAGCCCTGCAGGCTATAGAGGGACCTGGCCTCAGCCCATCCCCTCCAGTGTGGGTCAGAGCCAGACTTCAGGTCTTACAGACACTGATAACTCAAATTAACACCTCTACAGAACAGCAGCCCTGATTCAACCACAATACCACCTCTACCTCTGGCTGCTTTTATCACAACACTTGCTTGTCTGTTCCGTACCACTACATCTGTTGATATCACCTATTTGTATAGAAGCTTATATGCAGAAAGGTCACTCCAAAAGGCTGTTTAATTGTTTATTAAACTTTATTAAAATTGATTGTTTTATAGATTGTATAGCTTCTAGTATTTATTATACTTGTGGGTATTTAATGGTGCATTTAGCACTATGTCAGAATCATTGTAATAATGAGATTCTGACTCAACATGAATTTAACATATTAATGCCACCATTCCATTATTCTAATTAAGAAATACTAGTGCTTGCTGTTGTTGTGATACTCAGCAGCCATTTTACTTTTGGTTGTGCGTGAAAATTAACATACCATTTAATGTAAAGGCAGTTACATGGTTGTGAGGGTTAGTTACAATGAAACAGAAGTTGCATCAGTGTAATGCTGGTTGTTGTGATGTGGCTGTTGCCCTCGAAAATTAATGTGCACTTGTAGATGGGTAGGGTTTACACAAATAAACCCCTCAGACCTGAATTATGTTTCAAGTTTCTGAAAAATATGAAAGTACATTTTCCCAGCTCATGAGGTTTCTATAAATGAAAACAAATGAAAAAAAAAAAAAAAATTGCTTTCATTGTGATTTTTTTTTTTTTTGTCCATTCCAATGGACATCAGGTCAAAACGGGTGTACTTCCCAAAAATGTACCAACATGAAATAAATTAATAAACATAAAAGAAAAAATAAACATTTACCAAATGTCCCAGGACCACTCCCTGCCAGACCCCCGTCCCACGAACCTGCCATTTGTCCAATAACCCACTATATTTTTTAAAGTTTTTCCACAGTTCATTCAATATGCTGCAATTGGACGCGGTCTCACCGGCAATCTATTGAATCGGGATTCGGGTAGTGTTTTTGATGGACGTTTTAATCAAAGTTCCTATCGTGAAAAACACTCTTTTACCACACTCAGGAGGCCCACCTGCAATATATTGAATGATGATTCAGACAGTTTATTTGATGTGGAAATTTTAATTAAAGTTCCTGTCATGATGACAACCATTTATCTGCACCAATTAGACCTGAGTGCAAAAATGGAGGCTCTAGACCCTTCCAGAGCTGAGATATTGAGATCCCACGTAGCATGTATGCCATTATATCTCAATATCTCAGCTCTGGAAGGGTCTAGAGCCTCCATTTTTGGACTCAGGTCTAAGTCCCATGGCTCTCTATCAGAATCCAGAGTTTCAAGAAGATTGGAGAAACTTATTTTTCGCACCAAAAACAAAAAAACGACAGTGGTACCACTGTCGTTTTTTTTTTTTTTTTTTTTGGGTCGAAATTTTGAGTTTCTCTGATCTTCTTGAAACTCTGGATTCTGATAGAGGGCCATGTGACTTAGACCTGAGTGCAAAAATGGAGGGTCTAGACCTTTCCAGAGATGAGATATTGGCTGTGTCTGAAACCGCGTACTTCCCTACTATATAGTATGGGAAAAAGAGTAGGCGAGCGAAAAGTATGTACGAATCATAAATGAGTAGGCGAGAATTACCTAGGTGACGTATTATCGCGAGATTCGGACGTACGCATACCTAAAGTGCGTCCGAATATGCCTACTGTCCTACTATATAGTATGCGAAAACAGTACGTAAAAGAAGCAGTACGTCTGAAACATCAGTATTCATAAAAGAGTAGGCGAGAAGTTCCCGGATGATCTGCTTTCGCCCAGATTTTTGAGTGTTCATCCGATGGATACTCTTCTATCCCAGGAGGCCACGGGAGAGCATCGGAGAGCATACGTCATTATCAACATTGCTGAGATCAGCAAATTTTTCACATTTTTCAAATGTGAGTAAACACGGTTCCTTGTGTTTAAATTGTATGTGTTAAACTACTATAGAGTAAACGTTTTAACTGTTGAAGGTCTAAAGGAGTTAAATCTTAAGTTGTAGTTTATTTGAATTATTGTAAATTCAAGTATAGAAATTACAACACTTTTCTGATTCTTGATTTCTGTGCATTTGCTGCAGAGCTTTTGTGGTGGAGCAGGACCTGCAAGGAAAGATGATGGCAGCATTTGTTTTAGGGATTTTACTCAAATATAAAGTAAGGTTATTTTTAATACATAAATCAAATGACACTGTGTGTTAAAATGACTTCTTTTGTATAATGTTTGTGCATTTTTGTAGGATTTGAAATGTCTGCAGACTGGTGTGAGCACTGAGGATGAGGAGCCTAGAGCTGCATCCTTGAAGTGGTGCCATGGATGAGACCCTCTATCGCTCCACCTGCCCTTACGAGACCCTCCATCTCTCCACCTGCCCTTATGAGACCCTCCATCTCTCCACCTGCCCTAATGAGTCCCTCCATCTCTCCACCTGCCTTTACGAGACCCTCTATCTCTCCACCTCCCCTTATTGCCTCAGATTGTGAAGCGCAGCAACAAGCTCCGGTACGAAGGCACAGTCCCCTGTGGTGAATTCATCAGAATAATGCCGCAGAATGGGAACCGCTGTGTTGAGTCGGCAGTAGGATGTGGTGTTCAGCGCCTGTAAATACATGCTTGTAGTTTGAATAAAGCTTTGTTTCATGTGTTGTTGACTTGTATATGCATTTGTTTATTGTGATGGTTACTTTTATTTGTTCTTTTAATCATTTATTCATTTTTCTTATTGTTGTCAGTATATAAAATATAATTATTTAATTAATGTATCCGTTAATTCATCGATTGACTGACAATTGACCTTTCGCCGACCCCTCCCACAAAATGGCCATTGTCCAATCACACATCATAGCAACCGTTACTGTGTGAGCTGTTCCGTCAAACAGTAAGCGGTGCGCCCACGGCGTTAGTAAATCGGACACATGATACCCCGAGAGATTGTCTGGAGAAGTTGTGTTTTTTCCCTTTCCAAAGCCCAAAACACAACGCGAGCGGTGCCTAAGATGTATTAAACAGTGTGGACGCCCCAATTCCAGTTAAATGTGTCGAACATGGTTAACTCGTCTCGCGTGCAGCGTGCGTGCGACTGAGATTAGTTAAAGAAGCACGGAGAAAGCAGATCAAGAGGATCCACAAAGGACTTACTGTACATTTTCTAAAGGGTTGTTGTTAACATACCATGATATTCTCTGGGAAAATGAGCAGCAGTCAGCTAAGTTAGCAGTGCAGCACCGTAGACTACAGTTTAGAGGACGTTCGCAACGGGGAAAGCATGAAGCTTACATGACAACATCAGTTCAATATATCAATATCGTAACGAATAGAAATAACCTTAAATAACGTATGGTTCTCTGCCTCTTTCCGTCTCTTATGCATAACGTTAGTTACTTTTTAAACACGAAAATCGCATTCAGCATGAGCATGACACGCAATCGGTTGCGGTGGTAATGAACAACCTGCTTGTTAAAGCGAACGTGCTACTCCTGTATCGGAGGCAAAATGAATAAATATGCAGCGCAAGTTATATATATATTCGAACTCCAAACAATTAGCCACTGAACCAGTTTATAAAATCTTCAAGGCTGTGCTGGTTGCATTTGAGGTAACTTAGCATATGGTCATGGGGTTTTTCTGATTTTTTCTTGAGACTGGTAAGCATTAGCATCAATAGTAGTCGTGTCTCATTCATTTCTTAATTTTATATTTGGAATAAATCCCTCCACCGCATACCGTAACCCCTTTTGCTTCGATCTTGCTTGATATCGCGGAGGTATTGCTCCAAAAAAGGTCACTGACACGCACGGGAATACCCTTTGCCGTCATGGCAATCTGTCGCGCTGCCCGTGTTTGACCATTTGTTTGACGGAGGTAGCAGCAGTAACTAAGGGGGGCGGGGCTCGGCGAAAGGCTAATTGAGATGTTTCACTGCATTTATCAATATAAATGTATTCATGCGTAACTGTCATATGACAAAACAAATTACATTTTGCTTGTTATATTAAATTATATTTTTAGTATATAAAAAGTTATATAATTAAGTATTGGTCAGCATTTAATATTATTATTTTGTTTAAGTTTTGGGGTGGGTTAACAATGCAATTCATTCTGAGGTAATATTAATTTTTAAGGAGTGATACTTTCATTTTTTGAGTATAAAATCAACAGTTATCTCCAAAAGAGATCTTCGAGCAGCTGCCCGTCTCCTTTATGCAGACATTACAAACACAGAGGAAAATTGTTCTAGGTGGTGCTGTCGAGTCACTGATGTTATAAAGTGTTAGTGCACCTGTCGCTCATATATTTTAAACTTATAAACTTATTACATAAAAGATCATGGAAAGATACCATAACAGTCATAATGACAAAACAGAAAACATAAAGATCATTGGTTTGTGTACATCATAATATGACATCATAATATAATATTTATACACAGGAAAAAGGAACAATAAAAAGGCTAAATATCTTTAAATAGTTATTCATAATACATAAAAAATGTTGTTTTGTTGTTATAAGTCTGAGGGATGAAACGAGGTAAATTCATCAAGAAAAGGAGGAAAACTTAACCCTCTGATGGTCTTCAAAAAAAGTAACAATTCTGGTCTTCGGGGTCTACTGGACCCCAGACAATATTATTTAATTTTGTAACAGAATAGTATAATTTTTTTTTTTAACAAATATAATTTTACTCTGTTTATTAATGTTTTTACTCAACATTTGTGTAGTTTTTGGAGGATTTATGATTTTTATTTATTTATTTCTATAAATAAATAAATAAATATTTATTTAAATAGGATTTTTACAAAAAAAACAGCATTTTATGGTAAATATACTTTATAAAAGACCCAGATTTCTAACTTTCATTCCTGGGGATACCATGGATAATTTTATAAGGTTGAATGTAAGATTTTTACCAAATTTTTGGAAAAAACAGGTTAAAATTTGTAATAAGTCACTTTATCCACTAGATGGCTATAGAGCTCCACTAGGCCTATAATAAACTATTTGAATTACTGAAAGATATAGTTTCTAAAGTTGGATTCAGTTTGATTCATATCTAAATATTATAAAATCACAATTATAACAAAAATAAAATACTTTTTGTCAAAGTTTAGCATTTGTTTTTGTACTGAAAAAACAACATTTTTTCCTATAATGTTACATTATGATTAGAATCAAACCTGAACATGTCACAAAGATAAATGTTAGAATCTTAAGATTTGATCATTTATTTCAACTGAACAGCAATAACAAATTAGCAAATAAAGCAGTAAAAATAAAATATTTGTAAAAAAAAAAAAAAAAAAGTAAATTGGGAAGAAAATCGAACAACTAGGAACAATAGTTTGGAACAATAGAACAATAGTTGGTCTCATCTAATTTATCTTTTTTATAGCCTTACAAATGTATTCCTGTGTGTGTGTGTGTGTGTGTGTGTGTGTGCACATTTTCAATGTGTCTTAGTGTTACCAATTTATTTTTGCGGTGGTTCTGCATTTTAGAGTATTTTATTTTACAAATGATAAGCGAACAGGTTTTATAGTCTGTATGTATTCCTGTATATTGTATTCCTCTATATG